CAAAAGCTTCTACAGAAGGCAAACAGCAAACTCACAGGGCTAAATTTCATTAAGTTGCTCATTTCAATCAGAGTCTGAGCTTCTGTTATCAGCAATGGTAGCCATATCTGCCTGCTTTTTACCACTTAATAGGTTTGTGTCAGCAGAGAAATTGGTGTTGTCCCATAAAACGTGTGGCACAGCTTGATCTGCAAAAAAGCTTTCCAGTAGTTGCAAAGGTGACAGTTTAACTGTGGAACCAGCACTAGAAGAAGTGCTTGAGACGGCTTCTACTGAAACATTTATGGAGGTTAACTTAGTTCCACACTCGTGCCGTGGTTTTGAATTGGCAGAAGGGACTTTTCCAGTTTTTTTTCTGGCATGTTTCCTGCTTTTGCTTCCTAGCAGCATCGTTTCGATCTGCCTTCTGCCTTTCCAGTTGTAAAATGTAGTCTTTCAGATCGTTTGGTGGGTATGGTGATTCAAGCTTGTGATCAGCAACGCATCCGCTGACTTTCCTCACGACAGCTATTTCATGATCTATAATTTGATGCTGCGAGCACATTCAAGTTAATACACAGAATCAGGATTACAGTTCAATTTTCAGCAAATTTTTGAGCATGCATAATGATAAAAGTTCTATGGAAAAGTTACCCATTTCCAATGCGATTTTTTGGCCTTGTGATACGAACTCGCTTTGGAATATTCCAAGTGAACTTTCAGCATGTGTGCGGGGGGAACTTGTCAACAAGATCAAACGCAAATATGTATGCAATAGCCTCAAGCCGTAGATTGTTTTTTACAAGGGTTTCAATCAAGACTGTCAAATTGAAAGCAGATTTTGCAGGTGTCATCAGAATGCCGTCACGCAAAAAAAAAAAAAAAACTCATGTGAAAACACCATCTGAACTTAATATGTTACCATTATAATCCATAAATGTCATATTTTTGCTGAGAAATTTAAAGAACGAGATGATTGGCAAAGAAACAACAAGATAAGTAATTAGCAGAATTCAGAAACTTACTACAAATAAAAAAATGTTGCGGAAAAAAAAATAAGAAAATAATTTACCCATAAGGACCCCCTTTGATTCCTTTCATGTACCATTCGAGTACATGATGCAACAAAACACTGTTGTAGCATCTAGGGTTCCATATGCAAAAGTTGTACCTCAAGAAATCACTCAAATATTATTTTGGGGAATTCCGGCATTCCATTATACCTGGTCGCTAACAGCTAGAAGATGTAACTATAGTAGCATTAATATAGCTATGCAGAGAAGACAAGGATAACCTCACCTAACAGCTAAACGAACCAACAAAAAGAGAAACGATAAACTAGAGAGACAGATAGAAAGTAGACTAACCGCAGATCTTATCTGTCAAACCAAGAGCCAGGCACAAATCAGGAGACTGTCTATACTCACTTGCAATTACCAAAAGACCAAAAAGCTCATCCGCATCATAAGCAGAAATCAAAATGTAGGTGACTATCAGCTGCAAGAAACCATATGCCATCACACCATTCTGGTACTTTTGCGTTCTTTCTTTCCAATCATCTGCCAACTTCAAAACATCTTCATTTACATGGGGTTCAATCTGGAGCGGCAATCATCTGCCAACTTCAAAACATCTTCATTTACATGGGGTTCAAGCTGGAGCGGAAATGTCCTTAACTGCTCCATCAATAGAATGCAACTCGTTCTTACTTCTCCTGAGGCTTCCCTAATAAATTCATCCCGAGTTCTTTTTCTTTTTAGGAGCATGCCCTGACTTTGAATGATAAAAGGTCGATAATGCATCCAAAACAAGTTTTGCAGGATCGGGAGACAATTGAAGAGCGTCAGAAATTTCACTGCGCATTAAATCGTGATCCTCCACATGCTCACATAGAAAAAGTATTAAACCCTTCGCATCCATACCGGTGCTATAAGATTGTAGGTCAATCCTTGCCTCTGAAGGAACAACGCCATCCAATTGAAAATTTTCTAATTGACATCGGTCAATCTTTACTTGAGCATGATGAATACTACTTTCCGTACGGTTAGAGAATCAACTTATGAACATAAATTTAACAAGTGAATTTTTAGTGTCAAAAGAATAGAAAACCAACAAAGATATACTTGCCAAACTCTAAGCACGCACGGTACCATTATGCTGCAAATTATTGTAATTACAAACAAATACATTCAACAATAACAAAAAGTTGCTGAGGAAGGGAGGATTAAACATTGAATTATTATCTTGGTCGATAAAAAGAACTAAAAAGGTAATAACAAGAAAAAAAAAAAAAAGAGATTTTAGCTGGGGCGGCCTTGTCAACTGCTCCAGGTGAAGTGAGCTGTTCCAAGCTCCTGTTATTGGCAATTGAACACCCATCTTGCCAATTAAATGAGTTTGTGTCTACAGAGAAAGCATTGGAGTCCCACAAACTACAAGCAACAGCTTGATCAGCATTGGAGTCCCACAAACTACAAGCAACAGCATTGGAGTCCCACAAACTATAGGCATTCAGAAGGTGTGCAGGAGGGAACTTGTCGGCAAGATCAAATGCACAAATATATGCAATAGCCTCAAGCCGCAGATTATTTTTATGAGGTCCTCGATAAGGACTGCCAAATGCAACCAAATTTTGCAGTTCTGATCAAAATGCCATAAAATACTGTTACTGAAAGAAATGCACCACCTCAACTTGCTAATAACTATTACCTCAACTTATTATAGACAAGAGCATAGAGCACTTATCAAAATCAAAGAATTTTGCAGAGTTCATTTCCGAAGCCACTGATGCTTTAGCTTCCAATAACCAGCTACTATAGAAATGAGAGCGGGAGAATTCTGAACAACTAAATATATAACCATATTGATCTGCCAATCCATTTTATTTACCATTCGAATACATGCTGCAACCACGCAACTGCTGTAGCATGTCAAGTTTTTATGCGAAAATTTTATAGTAGGGGAGAGCAGTCGAATCTTATTTGGGAAACTCCTGCTGTATATCAAGCATTATGCTAGAGAGGTGTAACTGTTGGGAAACATCAGGCTAGAATCTGACCTTTAATTCTCAAATATAGCTAATATTCCAAATATTGGTTGGCTCAAGAAATAATCTAGCCCAGCAATCCCTCGTCTAATGTCTTCTACTTTTGTTTTCCATTTCTTAAGGAGTATGACATGTTGGAATAGGAAATTATGTTTACAACTTATATGGGTGTCTAATATATATCTACAAATATCTCGAATTTCAAATTTGAAGGCAAAATCATAAGTTCAGCATATTTTTATTTGATTTCATGCACATACAAATTAACAATAACAATAGAATGGGACAAAAATAATCAGAAATGTTTTTTAAAATTTGATATTTTTAAAAAAAATTTATGTGAAATTGTGAATAATAAAAATATTTTTTTCATAAATTTAAAAAATTTACAAACATTCAAATTCATAATTTTTTACAATTTTATGAATTTATGAATTCATAAATCTATAAGATTAATGGTGCAAGGAAAAAGTAAAAAATAATTTGCTAAAAGTTAACAACTATTATATATTTTTGTAATAAAAAATTAATTGCATCAAGAAATTTTGAATGTAAATAGAAGTTCTTAACTCCAATATAAATGTGAATGAAACACCTAACTCCAATTTTAATAAAAATTTGATGTGAATTTTGAAAATGTATTTATCATGTGATTGTTAAAACTTGGGATGATGATATATATATTTTTATTTATAAAATGAACATAGCTCATAAAAATATTTTAATTTAAAATCAAGATTTTTAAGTCCTGTTGAAAGTTTCTTATCGTACTGATGGAGTGATATTAAAGTAGTGCCAACACCAAGGAATTTAATGTAATTTACTCAAAAATAATACTTGACCGACAGAAACCATTTGCCACAGCCCACAGCACACAATCGAGACCTAGGGACAGCACAATGAAGCCAGATGGCTGTGCTTTAGTTGTCCTTTAGTTTGTCGTCATGTTCCCATTTCTTTACGTTTGGGCTTTTCATGCTCTTTTGCTGAAAACACGCAATTCTTTGATTTTCATGACCCATTGAGTTGGTCTTTCGGTTTGCCATTATGAATCATAATCCTTTCCTTTAATATCGTTTTTTGATGCTCTTCTGCAGAAAAGACGCAATTCTTTTATTCTCATGATTCGGTTTATTCGAATGAATCATAAAATTAATTTTAATGAAATTAAAAATAATAATAAAATTAATTATTATAATGATGAAATTAAATATTATAATAAATTTAAAATTAAATATAAAAATAATGATGAATGTAATAAAAAATATTAAATATATCAAATTAGAATTTGAGTATAATTGAAGTTATATTATATATTTAATATTTGTAAAATTAATAATTTATTAAAATTGTTTTTGTATATAAAAAATCAAAGTAAAAAAAACAAAAACAAAATTTAAATTATAGATGTAATAAGGATATTTTAATTATGAAAGTATAAATGTAAAGACAAAATAAAAAGTAAAAAGTAAACAATAAAGATAATATTGTTCATGAGCATCACGGTGAGCCACTGCGCATGTTATGCTCCAGTTCTGATTACGGGAAATGGTGCGATTAAAATGCTCCATCGTGCTATTGGCAAGTTTACCGAACATCTTTCTGAAATGAAGCCTTAGTTGGTCCTTCAGTTTGTCATCATAACCCTTTGCTTTAATAGTCTCGGCTTTTCATACTCTTTCGCAGAAACCACGCAATTCTTTGAATTTCTGTTCTCTCAATTACCATCCCTTAAACTCTTCCAACTGCTGAATCCTCAAGCTTTATGCACCAAGAAAAGGAAATAGAATTCTTCAATATTTTCCCGTAGGTTCTCTTCTCTTTAGGCATCGTACTCAAAGTGAGGAGAGGAAGAAGCTCTAGCCGACCAATCTTTTGATATCTAAGAGAAGAACAAAGTTATGTTTGTTTAAACCCATTTCCACTGCTTTCATCTCTGATTATTTGATTTCTATAACTTTTTTTGGGTTTTGAATATTGCTGTTTTTATTGTTTTGGCTTTTGTCAGTCAGCGTTCTTCCTTCTTGTTTTATTGTTTGTTCTGCTTCATATCATCAATTTCCGACCAATTCCAAAAAAACAAAAAAAGAAAAGAAAAAAATTATATATGGAGGCTTGTATTTCATTGTTGGATCCATTCTTAGCTCTCTTGCTGGGAAAGCGGCGGAGAACACAGTTGATCCTATTGCACGACAACTTAGTTACTTGTACAAGCATAAGGGCAAGTTACAAAACCTCAGGGATCAACTTCAAAAAGTGAAGGATGCGAGAGAAAGAGTGCAAGAGGATGGTAATGCGGCTAAGAGACAGGGAGAGGAGATATTTAGCTACGTGGATGAGTGGTTGTCTAAGGTCAATGGGAAGATGTGTGACGTGGATGAGTGGTTGACTAAGGTCAATGGGAATATCTGTAACGAGGCTGCTGCGCAATTGGATGAGGATGAAGAGAAAGTAAAGCAGGGGTGTTTCGTTGGGTTGTGTCCTAATTTTAAGTATTGTTATCAACTCTGTAGAAAAGCTGAGAAAGAGTTTAACACCATTGCTGAACTCTTGAAAGATAACGACCGATTTGATGGAGTATCCCACCGACCTGCTCCAGAAGGGATAGCTATTAGACCTGCCAAAGAGTACGAGGCCTTTGAGTCAAGAAAGGGTGCTTTGGATGCGGTCATGGAGGCGCTTAAAGATGCTAATTTGAGCATAATTGGTGTTTACGGGACGTGCGGTGTGGGTAAAACTACCCTAGTCAAACAAGTTGCTAGACAAGCCAAGGATGAAAATTTGTTTGATGAGGTGGTCATGGCAGCCGTAACCCGGAGTTTTGACATCAAGAAAATTCAAGATCTGATTGTAGATCAATTGAGTGTGGAGTTTACAAAGCAGAGTGACCCCGGAAGAGCAGGCGAACTACGGAACAGACTAAAGAATTTCAAGAAGGTTCTTGTCATTTTGGAATGATATTTGGGAGAAATTGGATATGGAGGCTCTAGGAATTCCTTACGGAGGTGAACACCAAGGATGCAAGATCTTACTGATGTCTAGAGAGCTCAATATTTTATCTTTGATGCTTTCGCTGAAAAACATTCGAATTGAAATATTGGAAGAAGAAGAAGCATGGAACCTGTATAAGAAGAAGGCTGGTGATATTGTTCTAAGCCACTGACTTGCATATTACGGCAATTGAAGTGGCCAAATAATGTGCTGGATTGCCGATTGCCATTGTAACAGTTGGGAAGCTATGAAAAATAAGAAGAATTTGTTTGAATGGAAGACTGCTTTGCAAGAACTAAGCCTCTAAAACACATTCCTTTCTCCGATCAAAACCAACAATGATTTTTGGCCTAATATTGTTCATCAAAGAATAATTTTTCAGTAATTTTCCTTTTCACCTTCACTAATATTGTTCATTATGATTTCATAATCCAGTCAACATAGTCGAGAATTCTGAAGATCAGCTCAATCCTTCAACCGCAAAGAAACAGAGTAAGCCAAAAATTCTTTCTATGCATCTTGAGACCATATGGCTTTTGTTGTACTCATCTAATGCAAAGGTTTTTCTTTCCTTGAGTAATGGGTGGCAGAAGGTTTTTTTGTTCTTCCTTAACGTTGCATATGTTAATTTGTTTTGATTGTTAATTGTCATATTACTAAACGGTAGTGCTGCCATACTATTCTATCTCTAAAGACAAGTTTAATCGTGTTGCATTTGATCAACCTGTAAATGGTCACAGCTTGTATCTTTTAGGCTTTTTTGTTTCTATGATAACTAATTTTAGCTTGCCATGTATTATTTGATCAACCTCAGAAGTGATAACTTATGTAGGACTTTTCTATTTTTAATGATCTGGGTATTGTGAAGTTAAGGATGACAACAATTCTGAAGTCAGAGGATGAGAAATATTCTGAAGTGGCAAAATGACAAGGGTTCTGGAGTTGGGGATCACATACTTATTTTGAACTAGACGATGAGGGGACTTTTTCAATGGTGAATTTCAAGGATTTGCCACTCTCCCTTTTTGAGAAGGTACAAACTATTTCATGTTGAAACTTGAAACAAAACTCAATTCAGATTTATTTTGCCGGTTTAAATTGATGGTTTTTGTTTGGGCTGGCTGATGGTTTGTGTTTGTTTACAGGTGATTTTCTGCTGCATTGAACCAATGGCAAATTCTTGAGTCCATTGGATGCCCCAAGGTGTGCCGTGCCTACAACAGCTTGTGAATGGGCAGTTTATCCATCCTGACTGTAACATGTTCCATTCTACTTGACTGTCGTGCCGAGTCCGTACGTCCTTGTGGAATTTTTTGTAGCCCTATTATGTTTTATTAGTGGCGGAGTTCGGAGGCATGATTTGATGCATCATGGTGCACAAGGTTAGTAGTTTTCTTTGGCCTTGGGCAATTTAAGTGCTTATATGTTAATTATCTCCTGATCCCCCCCCCCCCCCCCGCCTTGATCTGTGATTGACATTTTTATCAATGTGAATTGTGAATAAAGCATTCAACTGTCAAGGAGGTGGATGGTACGGGGAAATTGGGCAGAGCGAATGCTCCTCCCCGATTTCTGATATGGTGAGGGCTAACGCCACCTAATCCTACTGATTGAATGGAAGAATGGGAAAGAATCCAATCGGCACTGAATGTTTACAAAGTATTTGTCTCACGTCAAGTGAAGAAGCTGGTTCTTTTCAAACTTAGCAGAAGCTTACTAGTTTCATTTTTCGTTAATTGAAAACATATACAAGTCAAACACTTGCAGGAAGGCCCAATGGTTGAGAACTCGTAGAAATGGAGCAGTTTTTTCTCATTTTCATTTTGGACATTTTCTGTTAGCATTGACATAAACAGAACAACCTGCAGCAAGGATCTTGGTCCTTTGAAAACACTATAGACCAAGAGTTGCCAACTATAAGGAACAGAAGATCATTGTTCAAGTACAATGGTTTTTATTTACAACAGACATCAGTTTTAAAGTTGGATTTTTCAGTTATTTTCTTGAAAGAGTCTTAGGCTTCAAATCTTATAAGAGGTGTCTTATTTTCGTTTTAAACACTGATAAGCAACTATGGGAATTTAAGTTAATGAAGTTAATTTATTCTATTTGCAGCGGGAAATGGCTGCTCAAATTTCTATCATCGATAAAAACCAGTTTTAGTACCAATTTGATGTCGCAATGAACCTGGAATTTACTAGTAGGGAGTTTAACATATTCAAATGAAGAAGAAAATTTACTTGTTTATTCGGTTTGTGTTTATTAAAGGATTTAGAAGGAAAGAAACTGTTCATTTGTTTCGTTTCAGTTTACGCAGTGGATAGATCTTAGGCTTGAATCTCAGTACAGATAATACTACCTCATCCATCTGACAAGCCTTGAAAACTAGTAGCCCAACAAAAGACCATAAATGTGGCTAAAATAATGTATTAGAAAAGAGCTAAATATATGCTACTATTGGTGAACCATTTAAGAGAAAAATAGTAACTCAAACCCAATACCAACAAACATATACGCTACTATTTCCATTGTTGTATCCATTCCTGGCTCTGTTGTTGGCAAAGCGGCGGAGTACACAGTTGATCCCACTGCACGACTAGTTAGTTACTTGTTCAAGTAAACGAGCAAGCTTCAAAACCTCAGGGATCAGCGTCAAAAACTGGAGGATTCAAGAGAAAGAGTGCAAGAGGCTGTTAATGACATGGAACTTGATTTGTCAAAACGCAGACACAAAAACATAGCGTGTCCCCAAACACCCACAGTAGAATCACGTATTAGAATAATATATTCCATATGGACATGCATTTCTAACAATCAAAATTAAGAACCATATAATGACAATTTCTATTTGTCAATACCAGAGCAAAGCAATATAATGCAATTTTAAACATAATATTATAATATGACACCAAAAAAAAAATGATAGCATAAAATTTTGCTAAAAATTATATATAATTTTAATAAAAATCAAAAAAATATTTTGTGTTTAATATGTTAATGATAATATTTATATTTTTCACCTTTTAAGACATGAATAAATAGACACGGATACGAGAATTTTTTAGCCTAACAAATAGTCGAAAAATTTAGGCAAAAAAACGTGACTGAACTGGATTCTGCAGTGTGGAAGTAATTAAGTTACAAGTTGATTCTAAAGATATATATATTTATAGATATGGGCATTGAAAGTTGTAAATCCCAGTTTTTAAAAGGGGAATTTCACTTATAATTTTTTATACTGGAATATTATAATTAGTCAATCATAATTAAAAAATATGCAAAAATCTATCATTTTAAAAAAATGAGTTTTACATAATTTTTTTAACGAGTTTTACATAAATATAAATTATAATTAATTAATTATAATTAAATAATTGTAGGTGAAAATTTTCCAATTTAAAAAGAACTTAAGAACCTTTTTAACTAAATTTCAGTTAAAATTCACCAATTGAATTCTTTTAAGCGTCATACACAGAGGACATGCCAAAAACATGTTGCAAATAAGATTTACCATGTTTCAATAAATAAAATTATTTATTAATACTTTTGAATATAATTTTACTCATAAATAATATATTATATTAATAAATAATATTATAATATATTAATAAAAATATTATATTAATTATTCAATATTAAGACACTATATTAATAAATAATATATTAATTAATATTATTATAATTATTAATAAATATTATAATTTATTAATAAAATAATATAAAATAATAAATATTTTTATTTTTAAATATTTTTTATATTAACATAATATTTTAATATTAAATATTATTATTAAAATATTAATATTTTTATATCAAACTTTTCCTCATACTTTTCCCTCTTAAAATCTTAGCTCTCTGATTTTGATTTTTTGTGAGCCGAAGACAGGTGTAGAGACACTAGAGATTTTGATTCCTCTCATGTAAATGCATGTTACCAAGCTCAAGGAAGTACTTCCTTGAGTATTGCCAAACCTACCATGATTTTCATATTTGTTGGAAACTAAACGCTTCTTGCTATTTTCCTGGATGTTATGTTGACTTGCATTTACTTGACTGCCTTTTCTGCTCAAATCTCTTGGTGACCTTCGAGGTTTTAAGCAATTTGTTGTGAAATCATTGTTTTCACATTGAATATTTTTATAATAAAAAAGTATTTTTTTCATCGATTTAAAGAATTTACAAATACTCAAATTCATAATTTTTTTATAAATTTATGATTTTAAAATGATGCAATGAAGAAGTGAAAAATAATTTGCTAAAAAAGTTAAAAACATTAAATGCATGAAGAAATTTTGAATGTAAATGAAACTCTCAACTTCAATTCTAACAAAAATTTGATGTGATTGTAAAACTTTGGATGATGATATATATTTTTATGTCCTGCTGAAATTTTCTTAATTATTAAGCCAGGGAAATTGAGAACCGTATATTTGTCATATGGATGGCGTGATGTCATCATATTGGTGCTTAACCACAAAGACTATGCTATAATTTACTCAATAATAATACTTTCCCGACAGAAACCATGTGCCACAGCCCACATGTGCACGATCGAGACCTAGGGACCGCACAATGTAGACGAGCTAGCTGTGCTGGAGTTGTCGTTTAGTTTGGGTCATCATGTCCCATTTCTCTACTAGTCTCCGCCTTTCATGCTCTCTTGCAGAAAACACGCAATTCTCAGTTTTCATTGTCCGTTCTCTCAACTGTTTCTACTGCTGAATCCTCAAGCTTTATTCACCAAAAAAGAAAAATAATTCCTCAAAATTTTCCTGTAGGTTTTCGGCTCTTTTGATATTAGTACTCAAAGTAAGGATTGGAAGAAGCTGTAGCAGATCCATCTTTTGATATCTAAGACAAGGACAGGGGTATGTTTGTTTAAACCCATTTCCACTGCTTTCATCTCTGATTATTTGATTTATATTATTGTTATTTTTTTGGTTTTGAATATTGCTGCTTTTGTTGTTTTGGGTTTTGTCAGTGAGCCTTCTTCCCTGTTGTTTTATTGTTTTTTTTTTGCTTCATTTCATCAATTTCCTACCAATTAAAAAAAAAAGGAAATCACATAATTTATTTTAAATTTCATGATTAAAATTAATAATATAATTACAACATAAACGTAACGTATATATACGCAAATCAATAGTTTGTTTTGCATATTTTATTTTAAATCACATGATAATTGATAATATATAATATAAGAGATTATATAATTTATTCTAAATAAAATATTAATATGTAAATATATCATAATAATTCAAAATATATAATTTATTTTAAATCATATTATAAATTATAAAAAGTTTTCAAGTAAACATAACATGTATAATTTATACTAGTTTCATATTAAAAATATATATTAATTTGATATTTTTAATAACTTTATTGAGTTATCATCATTTATGTTATATTTATTATTTTATTAAATTAATGTTTTTAATTAAAATTATCCTTTTCTCAATTATTTGGGGTTAGTTTTTCGGGTCTTTTCAATTTTAAATTATTTCAATTTTGGTTAATTTTGGATTCATGTTAATCTAGATTTGAGTTAATTTGAGTTCGAATTATTTTTAGTTTGGAGCTAAATGAAGTAGAGTTAGTTAGGTGAGTTTTTGGGTTTGGATTAAAAAAATATTTAAATTAATTTTATTTAAAGAAATTAAATTTAATTAGGTAATTTAAAAAATTTCTGGGTTTATTTACAATAAAATAAAAAATCATAAACTTATTAACATGTAATAAAAGAAGATTAAGGGTATATATTTATTTTGTATAAAAATATTAAATCAAAAGGAAAAAAAAAGTAAAAAAGGCATGTTGGTTAGTTATATTACTTGTTATCCCATTAAAAAAAGGGGTATTTTTGGCATAACATAAATTGCATGTGATGCATCTCTCCGTTTGACTCCAATTCTAACATAACCTCGCCGTGGGATCCATTTGTCATTTGGAGGTGTTAAAACTTTGGGGATGATGTAAATTTATCATACAAATGAAGTGATGTTGTATTAGTGCTAAATGTCAAGGACTTTAATGTAATTTACTAAAAATATTCTTTTCCGACAAAAACCATGTCCCACAGGCTGCATACGCACAATTGAAGACCCAGGGGCAGGCATTGGAGGCCAGCTGGTTGTTCTTTTCATGTAATAGTCTCGGCTGTTCATGCTCTCACACAATTATTGGTTTTGATTAAAGGTGGAGGCGACAGATCCTTTTCATTATTTAAAAATCAATAAAAGACAATTTTTATATTAAAAAATAATTAGTTTTTATTTAAAACAGTTTAAAAATAAAAGAAAAAACCGTTTTTGGAAATAGTAACAATGGTGAAAAAGCCCACTAAACCTCCTTTCTTCTGGTGGGATTTTTGAGTTGTGGTGAGATTTATTTTGTACAATCACATACTATTTTTTGTTTTTTATATGCTTTGTTCAGTGCGATTAGAAAAAAAATTTGTTTTCTAAATACTCTTTTGCAGAAAATACGCAATTCTGAGTTTTGATTCTCGGTTCTCTCAGCTACCAACCCTTAAACTCTTTATACTGTTGAATCCTCGAGCTTTATTCACCAAAAAAGAAAAAAGAATTCCTTAAAATTTTTTTGTAGGTTCTCTTCTCTTTTGGCTTCACTACTCAACGTGAGGATAGGAAGAAGCTGTAGCCGACCAATCTTTTGATATCTAAGACAACGACAGAGGTATGTTTGTTTAAACCCATTTCCGCTGTTTTCATCTCTGATTATTTGATTTGTATTTTTTTTTTATTTTTGGTTTTGAATATTACTGTTCTTATTGTTTTAGGTTTTGTTAGTGAGCGTTCTTCTAATTCAAAAGACAAAAGAAAAAAATATATATGGAGGCTTGTATTTCGATTGTTGGATCCATTCTTGGCTCTCTTACTAGGAAAGCGGCGGAGTACACAGTTGATCCCATTGCACGACAAGTTAGTTACTTGTTCAAGCACAAGAGCAAGTTTCAAAACCTCAGGGATCAACTTCAAAAACTAAATGATGCAAGACAAAGAGTAAAAGAGGCTGTTAATGCGGCTAACAGACAGGGAGAGGAGATATTTGACGATGTGAATTCGTGGTTGACTAAGGTCAATGGGATCTGTGACGAGGCTGCTGCGCAATTGGATGGGGATGAAAGGAAAGCAAAGCAGAGGTGTTTCGTTGGGTTTTGTCCTAATTTTAAGTCTCGTTACCAACTCAGTAGAAAAGCTGAGAAAGAGGCCAACACCATTGCTGAACTCCTGAAAGATAAAGACCGATTGGATGGAGTTTCCTACAAACCTGCTTCAGAAGGGACAGCTACCAGAGCTGTCAAAGAGTACGAGGCCTTTGAGTCAAGAAAGGGAGTTTTAGATGCGGTCATGACGGCGCTTAAGGATGCGAATTTGAGCATAATTGGTGTTTACGGAATGGGCGGGTTGGGTAAAACTACCCTAGTCAAACAAGTTGCTAGACAAGCCAAGGATGAAAATTTGTTTGATGAGGTGGTCCTGACAGCCGTAACCCAGAGTTATGACATCAAGGAAATTCAAGATCGGATTGCAGATGAATTGGGTCTGACGTTTGAAAAGCAGAGTGACACCGGGAGAGCAGGCAAACTACGTGACAGACTAAAGAGAATCAGGAAGGTTCTTGTCATCTTGGATGATATTTGGGTGAAATTGGATATGGAGGCTCTAGGAATTCCTTACGAAGGTGAACACCAAGGATGTAAGATCTTACTGACGTCTAGAGAGCAGGATGCTTTATCTTTGATGGGTTCGCTGAATAACATTTCAATTCAAATATTGAAAGAAGAAGAAGCATGGAATCTGTTTAAGAAGAAGGCTGGTGATATTGTCCAAAGGCCCGACTTGCATGCTACGGCAATTGAAGTGGCCAAAGAATGTGCTGGATTGCCGATCGCCATTGTAACAGTTGGGGAAGCTATGAAAAATAAGAAGAATTTGTCTGATTGGAAGTATGCTTTGAATGAACTAAGAAATCCCTCTAAAAGAAACTTCAAGGGGATACCAGCAGGTGCATATTCAGCTATAGAGTTGAGTTACAAATTTTTAGAAGATGAGGAACATCAACCAACTTTCCTACTCTGTAGCATAATGGGTCATGATGCTGCCATCGAGGACTTGCTGAAATCTGGCATTGGTCTGGGTTTATTTCATGGAGTTAACACAATTGAAGAAACACGATATAAAGTATCTGCATTGGTTAGCAACCTCAAAAGATCTTCTTTGTTACTTGATGGTTCTACGTTTGAGCGCTTTGATATGCATGATGTTGTTCGTGATGTTGCCATATCGATCGCGTCAAGGGACCACCATTGGCTTGCCAGGGATGATGAATTCAAAGAGTTGTCAAATGAGGAAACAATGAGAAATTGCGAACTGATCTGCTTGCAGTATGCTAAGGTTTGTGAGCTTCCTGATCATGATCAGTTGGATTGTCCAAAGCTTACCTTTTTCTCTTTGGACAGTGAGGATTCTTCTTTGAAAATTTCAGACAACTTCTTCAGGGGAATGCAAAAACTCAGAGTCTTAGATTTTGCCAAAATGTATTTTCCATCCTTGCCTTTGTCATTTTGTTTCCTAAAAAATCTTCGTACTTTATGTTTTTCAGCATGCATGTTAAAAGATATAGTCGTCATTGGAGAGTTGAAGAACTTAGAAATCCTTAGCCTCCGTAAATCGAAAATTGCTGTGCTACCGGGGGAAATAGGACAATTGATCAAGCTAAAATTGCTAGATTTGAGTCATTGTTACAAGCTTAAAGTAATATCACCAAATGTCTTGTCTCGTTTATCCAAATTAGAAGAATTATGCCTACTTAGTAGCTTTGATAGATGGGAGGTTGAGGGACATGAGAAGCCAAGAACCAATGCTAGCCTTGTGGAGTTGCAACATTTGCCTCATTTGACAACTTTGGAAGTCGAAATTCCTATTGTGCAAGCTATGCCAAAAGAATTGTTTTCTGCAAAGTTGGAAAGATACAGAATTTCCATTGGAGGGAAGTGGTGGCGGAATTATAAGCCAGAAACCTCGAGAGAGTTGAATCTCAAGTTGAATAAAAGTATTCATTTGGACGATAGTGGGGTTAAAACGTTGTTGAGGAAAACCGAAACTCTACTTCTGGATGCAGTGAAAGATGCCATGGACATGCTTTGTGATCCAGATACTGAAGGTTTCCCACATTTAAAACATCTTGGTGTCAGCAATGATTCAGAGGTTAAATATCTCATTAACTCCATGGAGTTGGCTTCTTGTAAAGCATTTCCTCTTTTGGAGACATTGTCTCTTTTTAAACTGAACAATTTGGAGGCCATATATTATGGTCAACTCCAAGCTGAATGTTTTGGTCAACTAAGAAAGATAGGAGCACGAGATTGTAATATGTTGAAGAATTTGTTCTCATTCGCCTTAGCCCGAAAGCTCGGCCACCTTGAAGAAATTGATGTATCTAATTGCGAGAATTTCACAGAGTTAATTGTAGAAAAGAGGGAGGAAGAGATTGGTGATGATGACATTTTAGAATTCAGCCAAGTACGCTCTTTAACGTTAGAAAATCTACCGTGTTTCATTGGCTTGTTTAACTCAGAAAAAAAGCTTTCCTCATCTCAACAAGGAAGAGTTCAATCAATTGATGGAAATTCAACTGCCACTTCGCTTTTTGACCGAAAGGTATTTATATCAATATATTTCTTCTTTCGTAAAGTGCTCACTGTCAGCAATTTCCTTTTTTGATCTCTTTTTGTTCCTTTTTCTTAAACTAGATTTTCTATTTAATATGTGAATGTTATAATTAGGATAAAGAGCAAATTTATTGTTGTAGGTGAGTGTTCAATTTTGTCATTATACTTTGGTTTTATTGAATTTAATTGCTATACTTTCAACTTTAGTGATTTTTGTATCAAAAATGAATGAAAATAAAATATATCATAAAATATTCTATTAATGTATTTAAAATAAAATTCAATTAAAACTTTAAAATAAGTTTTAAACTGATAGCTTATCCCACAAGGAATAATATTTTTATTAATAACTGTTTACTATTTTTGTACATTAAAATTTTGAATATGTTTACAATATTAAATATTAATAAATAAAATTTTGTTATTTTAATAAAATAATAATTAAAATGAGTCAGTTAGAATCAGCTTTGGAAGGGAGACTTGATAGGCCAATCCATATACGCCTTTGAAACTGAAAAACTCCAATTCACTTTCATGACATGGGCGTGATATAATGAACTTAAGAATTGATATTATATATATAGATGGTCAATTGCACTTTATTTTTTGGGTTAGGGGTCAATAACTCATACTCAAAATTTAATGACTTCATTGACTTTATATAGTTGCAAATTCAAGTAAATATTTAATTTTTGTTTAATAATCTACTTGAAAATTATTGTGAATGGCAATTATATATTATATCTTTGTCTCATATCAATATTGGAAATCGTTATTAATTTTTTTTAATGTTTGAATAATAAGAAATTGTTGATTATCAAATATTTTTTTATTTGCAGGTCATGTTCCCATGCTTAAAGAAGTTGTGGTTAGCTTGTATCACGGTTGAAAAATTATGGCATGATCAGCTTCCGGTAACGCCTTTTAGTGTTGAAAATTTAACTGAGTTGACTATTCAGAACTGTCATAATTTGAAGAATCTATTTACTTCTTCTATGGTTGAAAGCTTCGTGCAACTGAAATCACTTCTTATTGGAAATTGTAATGAAATTGAAGAGGTAATAACAATGACAGAAGGATTACTAGAAGAAGAAAGGATGAGGAAAATGGTATTTCCTAAACTAGACAATTTGCACCTCTGGAATCTTCCCCATCTCAAAAGATTTTGTTTTGGAAATCCAAATGAATTCCTCTCTTTGAGGGAACGAAGAATAGTTGAATGTCCAGTTTTGAACACATTTCATTCTGATTCTACAAGGGTGGGTACAATTGTTGGAAATGAAGCAGGAAAGAGCAGCATCTCAACGGTGAACTCTTGCACTGATGTACCAAAATATCTATTCAATGAAAAGGTATTTTTTTAATGCTTTTCTCCATTTTTTGAACATCAAATTTTTATTTCATACATTGTTGGTAGAGTTTTTAAATTTAACAAGTGTAGTTAAAATATTACCATATGTTTTTTATTATATTAATTTTTTAAAAATATATCATATTGAGTTATTTAGCAATTATCTAAATTCGTTGGTGTGGAATTTAAATTTATTATCAGTAATGTTTTAAATTGTAATTTTTCTATGAACTTAACCTGAAAACAAAGTGATGAAGTATATATGTTAATATATTGCAAGACCAGAATGTATCCCTGAAGGCGATTTTTTCCCATCTTTTATGTTATTTTCTTCAAGTCTTATAATTCTCCTTTTCATATACGGTTTTTTTTTCTCACAAACATTATAACTTTTTATAGTCTTCCAAAGGGATATACCGTCATTGTAGACTTAAAACTTTAAAACTGAAAGTCTTAATTATTTGAATTATAGAGGAGATCGTCGGAGCTAAAGATGTCAAGGGTCAAGCTGCATATGATTTTTTAAGCTTTAGCCTGATTAGAGCTGATTAAATTATTTTATTAATAAATATTATATTTTTGTTAAATTTTGTATATGTTTAAAATATTAATAATAATAGAAAAATTTATTATTTTAATAATAAAATATTAGTTAAATGATTGGGTTTTTTGTCAATAAAATAAATGAGCGAGTTGTTAGTCTCTTATTAGCTTTAAAAAGAGAATTTGATAATTCAATCGATAAATGCCACTAATAATAAAAGTTTAAAACTCTTACTTTTACAAGTCACAACTTGAGTGATATAATGAAAATATTGATATTATATATTACTATAGATCTAAAATTGCACTTTCTTTTTTGTTAGGAGTTAATAACTCATACTTAAAATTTAATGGCTGACATTATTTGATTGCAACTTCAAGCAAATATTTGATTTTATTCTAATTATCTCATGGAAGATTATAATCATTGTACAAAGTTAATTATTTCAACCAAAAGGCTTTCAAGAATCCATTCTATAAATACTTCAGATTTTGGGGGAAGATGGGGGGTCTATGTGTCACCCTAACCTTCTTTTAAAATGTATTTTTTTATTTTTTATTTGGTTTAAATTTTTATTTGATTTTATTTTTTATCAAATAAATTTTGTAAGAAAAATAATTAATGTAAAAATTATGAAATAATTTGTATATAGTGGTTTCAATTCGCTTTGATTTGATATAGATGTGTTGTTTTAAAAGTTTTGAAAACATATTAGGATTTTTTTTTTAAATTGAGGTTTTTTTGAAGGTAATTTTAAAGTATTCTATCTTGTCTAAGATATATATAGAATTATATTTTTATTATTAATTAAATGTTATATTTATATAGTTATTATAGTAGTAAAATTATTATTTAATATTTTAATTTAATAAATTTACAACACTTTTATTTGGCTTTTTTTGTTAATTACCTTCTTCAAAAACAATTCTTATCCAATATGTTTCATTAACCAATTCAATAGGGACGGTTTTTTTTTTTTTTAACTTTGAGATCAAGTTTGAGATAAATTTAAAGTGTTTTGCTTTGTTTCATCCCACGATATATCTAAGAATATATATTTTATTATTTATTTCATCTTATTTGTATAATTATTATATTAATAAAGTTATTATTTAATAAAATATTATATTTATATATAATTAGACAAATATATGTTGGGTTAGATTAGTTATAAAAAATAATTCGATATTAAGTCGGAGTTAGGACAAGCATAACATGCTCTTAACTATCCATTGTCATCTTTAAGCGGAAGTTTTTACTTGGTATATTTATTTGGGTCATTTTTTTTTTTTTTTCTCATTTCGCTTGGCACTTTTCCTTTTTTAAGTTTTAGCTTTTTTTTTTTTAAGTTTTTAAATTATCTATTTTAATATTTTTTACTATATTTGAAAATATGGATTTGTTAACAAGTTATGTAAAAAAAATAGAGATATTATCCACAAATTAATTAATAAATTTTTATAAATCATTTTTATTAAGAAATTATAAAAAAAATATATATTCATTGATTTATTAAATTTAACTATAAATAAAAAAAAATTAGATCTACAAGAAAGTATGGGTACATTATTAGTATAATTAAAGATGGCAGAGTTGTAGAAATATAGAGTCAATGGCAATCATATTTTTTTGTGTCACATCAATGTTGGAAATCATTATTAATTCTTTTTAATATTTGAATAACAAGGAATTGTTGATTGTCAAACTTTATTTTTTTTTGTAGGTTGTGTTTCAAGGCTTAGAGGATTTGTACCTAAGCTCAATCGCAGTTAACAAACTATGGCATGAGCAACTTTCAGTAACTTTTTTTGGCGTTCAAAATTTAACAAAGTTGGGAGTGTACGAGTGCCATAATTTGAAGAATATATTTACTTCCTCTGTTGAAAGCTTTGTGCAACTAAAAACACTTGCTGTTGGAGAATGTAATGAAATTGAAGAGATAATAATAGTGACAGAAGGATTAGTAGAAGAAGAAAGGATGAGGAAAATGGTGTTTCCTAAATTAGACCACTTGAAGCTTAGGGATCTTCCCAAGCTCAAAAGATTTGGCTTTGGAAATCCGATTGAATTCCCTTCTCTAACATATCTACATATAGAAGGATGTCCTGTTTTGAACACAGTTCATTCTGATTCTACAAGTGTAGGAACAATTGTTGGAAATGAAGCAGGAAAGAGCAGCATCTCAATGAAAAACCTTCACACGGATGTTTCAAAATACATATTCAATGAAAAGGTATTTTTTTTAATGCCTCCCTCCATTGCTCCAATATGAACTTAAAATTATTATTTTGTTCATTGTTTATGGAGTTTTAAACTCCACAAGTATGATTAAATATTATTATATGTTTTTTAATATATCATTTTATTAAAATTTTGAATTTTCATATCTAATAAATTATAGTTGCATATCTATAAATTATTTAAACCTTTAAAACCTTGAACTTTAAATTCTAAATCTAAAAATTCAATTAAAAAAAAAACCTTATATGATTAAGAAATTTCATACCATTGTAAAACAAAAATAAAATACAATTTGTTTCAAACAATTAAACTCATTTACAAATTGATAAGTAAAACTATATATTTAAGAGAAATAGCACCTAATTATTAATTACATCATTCAAGTTTAAGAATTTATTTTTGATTTCAACAATTTAATAGAGGGTAAATTACTTATATCGTTAATTGCTAATGAGATTCCTAGCCTCTAAAGAGTAGTATTAAATGCATCCCTTTTTTTTTACTTTTCACATGCTATATATTTTTTTTCAAATCTTTTTTGAAATAAAATTACCTAATTTATCATAAGTTTCTTGATATTCATATCCAATAAATTATATAATTTTTCGGAAATCCATTTTTGGAAGATGACATAGTGAAAATTTAAGAAAAATTACAAAAAGATAATTTTATTAAAAAAAATTTTAATTAATGTAACAAAAAAGTTATTATTAGAAACAATCATAAATTTTAGAATTAATAAAAAGCTAATTTCACTATTTTGACTTTCTTATAAATTTAAAATTCATATTTTTTTAATAAACCATTTTTTAACTTAACTGAAAATTTTGATAAAATCTTTCTATTTACTTATCATGATGAATTTCTATAGTTAGCATATAAGATTTTGACAAAATTATATAGTATTCAATATTATTACTTGTACAACTTTTAAGAGTTTCAGCTTTCAAATGTGACTTAATAGGTTTTTTATCATCTCTTATAATAATATCAAGAGACAAAATATTAATTAGAGTTTCATAAAATTTTCTTCTTTTCTTAAGGTCAAAATAGTTAAATGAACTTTTTTTTATTAATTTTAAATTTTACAATTTTTCAATAATAAGTTTTTCATTATATTAATTAATAATAGTTTTTAATAAAATTTTTGTTTTTGTAATTTTTTTTAAAAAATTCTTATTATCTCACCTCTCGAAAATGAATTTTCGAAAAGCTATATGACTTTTTAAAAAGTTAATTTTGAAAAGTTATATAACCTTTTAAAAATTTATTTTTTTATAACTTTCCAAAAATAAATTTTCAAAAAATTATGTAACTTACCAAATATGAATATTAAAAAATTTGTAAAAAAATATAATTAAATAATTTTACTTAAGAAAATTTAAAAAAAACAAGGTATGAAGAGAAAAATTGGGGTGTATTTAGCACTCTTCAATCCTAAATCTTAAATAATCTTTGCATCAAAATTTTAAAAAATAAATTGATATGTTTTGAAAATAAAAAATTAAAAAAAAATTAAAGGCAACATAATAAATATTAAAAAGAAAATGTCAACTATTCATATATTTGTAAAAATAAAATATTCTAATTTGTTTATGAAGATAGAATATATGATTTTATAATATAGCTTCCGATTGACTTATAATTTAACTAGAGAGGTATCTTTAAATTTCAATAGTCAGATTTTAATTTTTTTTTAAATGTATATTTTACTAGTTTTTCAGTAAAGTTATATGCATTAAAAGATTTTTTAAATTCTAAATTTTTGTAAAAATTATGTGTATCAAAATTTAAAAAATGATTGTATCTATTACGTTATTAATAATAACAAACTTAAATCAGCCAGTACTATATAAGTATACATGATTCAGTAAAAAAAAAGAAAGATCACTTCTTATATTAAAGATATACTTTTTAAAATTTCTCTTTTTATTCCACCATATTACAATCGTTCATTTTGATCCCTTTCAACAACTCATCCTCCCTCCCATTAACACTTGCATGAATTGTGCAGTTGGCATTCCCAAATCTACAGCAACTTCACCTCGGATGGGATGATGGGATGAAAGAGAGATTGGATGGCCTACGACTTGCACCGGACTGCTTTTGCAAACTAAAAGTTCTCGGACTTGTACGGTTTCCTCAACAATTAGCCATATTCCCATCTTACCTGTTCCAATTACTATCCTTACCCAATCTCGAAAGCCTTCAAATAGCAGGTTGTTACTTTGAAGAGTTGGTATTCCAAAGTGAAGGAGTTGGTGGTGAGGAAAAGCCTGCATCTGCATCGATGGTACTCTCTCGGTTAACTGAATTATGGCTTTCTAATCTCCATGAATTGATGCATCTATGGAAGGAAAAGGAAGGATTCCAAAATCTAAGGATTTTACGTGTGGGATGGTGTCCCATATTAAGAAGTAATTTAGTTCCATCCTCAGTATGTTTCCAGAATCTGATGACTCTTGAAGTATATAAATGTGATGGGATCATAAAATTAGTTACACATTCAACAGCCAAAAGCCTAGTGCAGCTCAGAGAAATGAGGATAATTGGTTGTAGAAAGATAGAAGAAATAATAGAAGGTAGCGATGGGAATCGTGATGAAGTGAAGGATGAAATCATTTTCCCCAAACTCAACCTTTTGGAACTTATTGGGCTATCAAATCTTGAAAGCTTCTGCTCATCAGCGAATCATACCTTTGTATTCCCATCCTTAGCAACGGTATTTGTGCAAGATTGCCCAAAGATAAAGACGTTCGCTCAGGGAGGGTTAAACGCTCCAATGTTGCACAAAGTACGACCAGATAGGTGGGCAGATGAAAGGGAGGACTGGATTTGGGAAGGAAGCCTTAATAGCACCATACAAAAACTGTTCAAGGAATGGGTATGTTTTTTCAATTTTCTTTGATTATTAGTGACAAAGAAAATTTGTGGTTGGGGGCGTTGATTATGACTCCATTGCAAATCAAAATTAATTCATCTTTTCGCTTTCATGACCAATTAGCATTAATTGTTGTTGGTGATTTTTATATATATGTAGAATCCTGTGGAGGAAATGCAGAATTCTGTAGAGGATCAAGGCAATCCTTCAACTTTTAACACACAAGTAAGCCAAATTTCATTCTATGAATCTTCAGATACAATTCGTAAATAATATAGCTTTTGTTTCTGTCAACTCAAATGCTTTACCTTTTCTTCACCAATTATGTTGGTGATTGATGCCTCCCACCTAGTTCTTATTTCTCATATCAGAATAATGTCATGTAATTTTTAAACAATTTTCCCTTTTTATTTACACAAGTTTTTATTTAATTTACTCCTTTTAGGATTTTCTAGAGCAACTGAAATAGATCATTGGATAATGTTACATTTTCCTTTTTTTTCCATGACAAAATTTTGTTGTATAATTTGATTTTTCTATTTTTAAACAACTTTTGCATTTTAGTAATACTGTTTTTGTGGTTATAGAATGTTTAAATTTATAATAAAATAAATAAGGAGAGGGATTATGATGATGATCTTCGATTGCCATGCATGGCAGAGTAGGAAATTGTTGAAAATGTGTATTTGAGACACCATGACTCTTGTTTCTTCATTTGAAATCAGAATGGCTTTGTTTTCATTCATTATAATACTGATTATTCAAAAGAGTAACAAAAGTAATTTTTCAGTAATTTTCTTCTTCACCTTCATTAATATTTGTTCATTGTGACTTCATAATCCAGTCAACATAGTCGAGAATGCTGAAGAAGATCAGCTCAATCCTTTAACTGCCAAGAAACATAGTAAGCCAAAAATTCTTTCTATCTATCTTGAGACACTATAGCTTTTGTAGTACTCATCTAATGCAAATGATTTTTCTTTCCTTGAATAAGGTATGTTTCTTCATTTGAAGGTGTTTTTATCATCTCAAGTGCAGATGTGCAAGGTTCCAATTCCTATTTCCTTCATGGCTGGCATTTATGAGCCTTGGCAGAGTGAAGTAAACAATGTATGTATTTTGAGACATCATTATTGATACTTCGTCATTTGAAATGAAATAGTTATAAGATTTCCTTTATTATAATACTGGGGTTCTTTAAATGAACTAATGGTCATTTTTTTCATTTCACAATTGGGTTGGGTGCCTTGGATTATATTAATTTCATTTAATTGTCAGTTGTCATATTACTGAAGGACAGTACTGCCAAGCCTTTCTGTCTCTAAGGACAAGTTTAATCATGTTGCATTTGATCAACCTGTAAAATGGTCGCAGCTTCTTTCTTTTAGTCTTTCTATGTTTCTATGATGACTAAATATAGCCTGCCATGTATTTGATCAACCTTGGAAGTAATAACATATGTAATACTTGTCTGTTTTAATGATCTGGGTGTTGAGAAGTTATGGATGACAACAATTCTGAAGTCAAAGGATAAGGAGAAATGTTCTGTAAGTGGCAAAATGACAAGGATTTTGAAGTTGAGGATCACATACTTATTTTGAACTAGAGAATGAGAAGACTTTTTAAATGGTGAATTTCAAGGATTTTCCACTCTCCCTTTTTGGGAAGGTACAAACAATTTCATGTTGAAACTTGAAAGAAAGTTCAATTCATATGTATTCTGTAGCTCAAAGTGATGGTTTTTGTTTGGGCTGACTGACGGTTTGTGTTTGTTTACAGGTGATTTTCTGCTACACTGAATCAATGGCAAGTTCTTGTCCATTGGGTGCCCCAAGGTATGTTGTGCCTACAACAGCTTGTGAATGGGCTGTTTATCTATCCTGACTATAACTTGTTCCATTCTACTCGACCCTTATGTTGAGTTCCATGCTGCCTAGGGGAATTTTTTGTAGCCCTATTATGTTTTCTTAGTGGCACAGTTCGGAATCATGATTTGATGGTTCATGGTGAACAAGGTTAGTCGTTTTCTTTGGCCTTAGGCAATTTATGCGCTTATATATTAATTATCACTTGATTTTTCCCCCCATGATCTATGGTTGACATTTTTTATCATCAATGTGAATTGTAAATAGAGCATTCAATTGTCAAGGAGGTGGATGGTACAGGGAAATTGGGCAGAACGAATGCCTCTCCCAGTTTTCTCATATGGTGAGGGTTAAGGCCAATTAATCCTACTGATTGAATGGAAAAACGGGAAAGAATTCAATCGCCATTGTTTACAAAGCATTTGCCTCATGTCAAGTTAAGAGGCTGGTCCTTATCAAACTTTAGCAAAGGCTTGCTAGATTCATTTCGTTAATTGAAAACATATACAAGTCAAACACTTGCAGGAAGGCCCAATGACTGAGAACTCATTGCAATGGAGTAGTTATTTCTGATATTCATATAGAACATTTTCTATCAGCATTGACATAAAGAGAACAACCTGCAGCAAGGATCTTGGTCCCCTGAATACACTATAAACCAAGAGTTTCCAAGTACAAGGAACGGCGGATCATTGTTCAAGTACAATGGTTTTATTTACAACAGACATCAATATTAAAATTAAATATTTTTGTAATTTTTTTGAAGGAGTCTTTGGCCTCGAATCTTATAAAAAATGTCTTATTTTCGTTTTAAACACTGATAAGTAATTATGAGAATTTAAGTTAACGAAGTTAATTTTTCTATTTGCAGCTTGTACAATGTTTTTGTTTTTACTATTGAATCAAATATTAAAATTAAAAATATTATTTGGATACAAATTAGTCAAAATTTTAATTTTAATTCAATGATGAAAATGTAAAAACGCACTAACGTAATTGATCTCAGTACTGCTTTAATTTCTTTAGGGTTTGTGCCAGTCATAGCAACCTGCTTACATATCACCCTACGAGTAAGAGAAGCAAAAACAAAGTGCTTTGAGATGAAGACATTAAGTGTAATTGGCTCCATGCAGGCTATAGTGCGTTGTTTAAATGACATTTGGGTTCTTCGACTTTTTCTCTTTCTGGTAAGTGTATGGCCTGCTACTATCGTCATCAAGAAAATCCTTAAAAAACACACCATAATAATTTCACTGGTTCATCAGTTGCATATCAAAGAAAATGTCTGAAGAAATTCAGAAATTTCAATTGTTAGATTCTCCTAAAGGACTTATGAGTGTACACATATATTTCCTTAAAAGAAGTAAGAGAAACAAACCATAATGCCAATAACATTGATTAATCAATATCAGTTTGTAATTACATTTCTAAGAGATACCCATCCATGTCTTGCCTCAGATGAAATAGCCACCTTCTTCCTTGTTCATCATAAATAATCTACATTCTGGTTGTGAGTTGCCGCAATAATCAGATTCAAGAACTTTGATATTCTCGCATGCATGCGTCATGAGTTTTGAAGCCAGGAATCATTTAAGAATGATAGCACCATTGTTCCAACTGAACTGCCAGTGCCACTTAATTCCTGCTCTGTTTTCTATAGTCATCCAAGCTGTAGGAAACATATACATACATACATATATATATATATATATATATATATATATATATTCAATAAGCAAAATGCTCACAGAAAGTAATACTAGTCGTAGTAGTTGTAGTAAATAAAGAGGGAGACAATGGAAGGGCAAAAAAGTACATGGCAAAGAAGGCTACAGTGTTTGCAGACCAAACAATTGCAAAAGACTTCCATAAGAAAGGGATTATAACATTTAGGAAGGGGATGATGAGAAAGAGATAATTAAGAGCTAGCTTCTTTTTCATTCTTTGAGCAGTCCCTGGCTTGAAGGGACGGAATTGCTGTAAATAAATAGGCAATAAGTAACTGAATAATGTTGTTTGTAGAACACGCAATAACTTCCATAGAAACCCTTTAACCAGAGCATGTAACAAATTAGTAGTATTAGGTGAAAGTTTTAGGACTCACTCACTGAACATCCAAATGTACCACATGCCCATCAATCTCCAAATATCAGGTTCATTAGATGGAAATATGAGATTGAAAGACAAAGCTCCACACAACAGCAATAACATAGCCTTGAACCTCAAAAATGATATGCAAGGCAGCTCCAGGCACAGCAGGGTTTTTAGTAGCTGTGCAAGCCCTTGGTGCAAAGGTTACAGCATTCTTATGAACCACCTGTTGTTAATATAGCATACGGACATCCTCAAAATCGACCATTTCTCCATGTAAAACAAGGCCAACTTGAATAAAAAAATGAAACTTTTTGAGGTCCTTGTCAAGGGATTCAGTGGAAGGAGAGGAAGTAATGGAGATGTTGTTGCTTTCTTTTTCGGGTTCAGATTCTGAAGTTTCATCTTTGGGTTCTTCCTCTACTGTTTCTGTCCGAGTATCTACCTCATTTGTTGCATTGGCATTTCTGCAGCGGAGAAAGTTAAGATTATTGTTGTCGTCCTTAAAAACTGCTTGGTGCACAATGAACCTTAAAAAGGGTAAATGTTGTAATCATTCCCAAAAATTAGACCTCACAATCTAAAACAAGACATAATGTCATGATATGAAAATCATGCAAACAAAAGACAAAGATGACATGGTTTTAAATTTTAACGAAAATCATATATGAGTTTAACAATATATATATATATATATATATATATATATATATTTCTTGTTTTCTATGTCACTATGAATTATGACACAATTTTCATGTAAACACAACACAAATAGACAAATTACTAGCTTTACCAAAAACAAACCATTTAGTTTCAGTCAATTAGTCATTGTGATTTCTAAAAAGTTTGGAAGCGAATCTAAACTTTCCTACCTAATGAAGCAACATTTAACCATAGATTGGATAACATGAATTCCATATACGAACCATTAGAAACAAGGTTATAAGCATGTGAAACAGCTCGATAGTTGTATATTCAGCAATAAATTTTGGAAGAAAGGAATGAAGTAGATATTTTGAAGGAACAATGACCTCATCAAACTAGATTCACATAACCTTCT